TCTTAGGGTTTAGGGTCTACGATTTAGATAACTAAGACCTAGGGTTCACTCATCAAGGGTTAGGGTATAGTATCATGCCCCGAAATCCGGTTAATTCAAGGTCTAGATAGCATTTTCTTACTCAATGTATGTCGTACCCTAGATTTTACCCAAGGTACGATAGAAGGCACCATATATATATATATATATATATATATATATATATAGTGGCTACTTCGCCGCACTCACTTTTTTGGGTGCACTCAGTGCACTCAACTCTAAGAGTATCCATAATACATCAAATTTTGAATTTTAATTAGTACTCTCAATCTAATATGATGATATGACATAAAATCATAACAAATCAATCTATTACCCTAATCCCTTAACCTTCAAATTTGAATCTCAACCCAAAATCCCAAATTGTAAACCTAAACCCTAACCCTAAATCCCTAAATCCTAAATCCTTCGAATTAACTTAAATTTTGATTACTTTTTTTTTTCAAATTCATGTGCTTCTTGTTCATAATATCATAAGCAACAATTGATACCGTTTTGATATGAATCGCATGCTCAGAATGACAATTATGAGGCGGGTGCACTGAGTGCACCCAAAAAAGTGGGTGCACCGAATACGCCACTATATATATATGGTTCAGGCTAGTGTACACCTGACGTACGCTATACGTCTGTGTTCACACATGCTAATATTTTAAAATTATAATTACAAATAACCATATTAATTTAATTCCTATTGCTATTTAGCGCCACGTCATTTCTTTTCCTTTGTTATGCTGAAGTATCATAGAAATATCCTGAAAGAAAACATTTTCCGGCCGCAGCTGCCGGCGGCGGTGGACATCTCGTGATTTCTTCTCCATGTCCGGTTCTGCTTTTCAGCCCTTGAGATAAACCCTTGATTAGTGATGCGAGAGAAGAAATGGGTCAAAGAGAAATCCAACTAGAATCGGAGACGAATGGGGCTGATATAATCCCTCTTCCTCCGTGAATTTATGTTTTCCTGATTGCCGACGTTCTGAAAATTCTGAAGCTATCGCCAACGAATTCAGTTCCCGGCAAAATCTCGTCGATTCGTTTAGTAATCTGCGTCCAAGATCCAGGCATCATTCTGAATCCAATCATAATCATGAGACCATGTCGAAGAAGATTTAACAGCAAGGCCGAAGAGGGCGGCGCGCGGAAGAACGCGACGAAGGAGCCGGAGGAGCGGGAAAGGACGGGAAGTACTGGAAGGAAGCAGAGGACCTAAAGTCTAGCGCGACAAAGAAGCGAGATGAGGAAGAAGGGTAGCGTGCGGAGGCCGCAGCGGATCCCAGCGGCTGTTGTGTTGGACAAAATAAAGACGGGAAAAATTGGATGGAAATGCTGGAAACAACAATTGAACTTTTGATTCTCGAAGCAAAATTTAGATGATTCAAACGTATGATTTGGAGGAGCTACTATCAATCTATCATTTATATAATGATACTTAAATGATTGGTTTAAGCCGAACTTGTGATAAACATTGTTTGGGTACTAAAATGCACACAACAATTAGTTAATGGATATAATTGTATTTATAATTATAATTAAAATTAAAAAAATAATTTTAGGTGTGAACACGGGTGTATAGCGTGCGTCAGGTGTACGCTAGCCTTTGCCATATATATATATGGTAAAGGCTAGCGTACGTCAGGCATACGCTGTACATTTGTGTTCACACTTGGTTGTTGAACTTTAATATATTTCGTTGAATCAGATCCGTCGGTTATTATTTTTTAGATTAAATGAATCTTGTGGCTTGGTTCACCCATTAGAGGTTAGGGTATAGTATCATGTCCCAAACTTCGGTTAATTCGTGTTCTAAATAGTAAAACTCGACGGGCGCACAATGTACGACTGTATGCTAGCCTGAACCCATATATATGTGTGTGTCTCTCATTGTCATCCTTTCTTTCTTCCTAAAAGTCCCTTAAAACATGCATGAGCTATCCAAGATTTCACAATTAGTGTCAGAGTTGCCTTTCTTTTGGATTAACTGTCACAAGAAAGAGAAAGCTCCATGGTTGGGTCATCTACATCTCCTACACCAACCCTCCATTGTTTGTGAAACTGATAATGTCACATGGAAGAAGAGAATGATGCTCTATCATAGAGGAATTGAAAACGGTCTTTGGAAATTTTCAGAAAGGCAGCAATTAATATGGATGAAGAAGATGACGAATCCAAGACTAATGAGCAGAAAATTGATGCTCAATCGGATGTCCCAAGCGAGTGTGCCACAAATCCATGGAAGCCTTCCCAGCAGCCGCGAACACAGAAGGTACCCTGCTATGTGGACGCGTGATGTCCCCGACTCGATGGAGATAGTATAGACCATCACGGAGCTGGCCCAGTCCAATCATAGTCGTGGAGCGTAAGTCCTGGATAATGCAGAAATCAACCAAGAAGAGTACAGACACATCATGGTCTTTAGTGAGACGACTAACAGAGAGCAAGTTGCAGTTGAATGACGACACATGAAGGACCCGATCAAGTGTAAGTCGATCATTCAAAACCAAAGAACCAAATCCCTGTACTGGAATACTAGCACCATTGGGAATACGAACTGGGGAAAGAGGACCAGTCCTATCAATTGTATTTAACCAAGTGGAATCATGAACTATATGTTCGTTGCAACTAGAATCGATGAGCCACTCATAAAGTTCAGATGTATTACCCGCCATGTGAGCTGTTGGCTCGCTGGATGTAGTCGGTGTAGAATAGAGGAATTGTTTTAGGTGCGCAAACTGGGCTGCGGAAAGACTGGGAATGGGGCTCTCTTCAGTCTCGACATTGGCAGCTCGCGAGCTTGGCTTCCCTTCCCTTCGCTGCCTGCGATCAGCTCCTATGCTATGATCCCGAGAACGGTCACCACGTTCGCCACGCTCGCCTTGTCTAGGCTTGTTTTGATCACCGGGGTAGCCAATTAGTTTGTAACATGTCTCTTTGGTGTGCCCAATCCTGTTACAATGAGTGCAACGCGCACGATCATCATCGACGTCCTTGTCCTTGTGCGCTTGGAAGGCAGCGGCTTCCACAACGGGACGCCGAGCACCCGTGATCTGCAGTTGTTGTTCCTCCGCCGGTACTAGCTAATAAGCTTCAGCAATGGAAGGGATCGGTTTCATAATGAGGATCTGAGAACGAATGACAGCAAACGCGTCATCAAGGTCAAGCAAAAAATCAAACAGGTGCTCTACTTCTTCCTTCTCGCGCGTCTACCTAGCCATGTCGCACGTACAAAGCCCGCAGGTGCAGCGGGGATTGATCGTAACGGCGTGCAACTCATCCCATTGCGTGCACAGCTTGGTATAGAAGGCCGAGACTCTGAGGTTTTCTTGGTGAAGTGATCCGAGCGTCCGCCGCAGTTCGTAGGCACGCGTAGCCGAGCCAGAGCCAAAATGTTGCTGCAAGTCGGACCAGATTTCTCGGGTAGTGCGAGCAGCCCTCACACTATTCCGTACCTCCTTACTCATAGAATTTTTTAACCAACCCTTGACGGTGGCATATATCGCAGCGGCACCACACCTCATAACGGATCCCAGGGCCTGCCTTGGAGCGAGGAAGAGACCCATTGACGAACGCCATTTTATTTTTGGCGATTAGGGTTTCCGTCATATCTTTAACCCATTCACTATAGTTCAAATCCGTGAGTAAATCACTTCCAAACAGCTCGCCAGGATTCTCTGACGGATGAAGATAGAGAGGAGACGTGAGTTGTATCACGTCGTCTGAGGACGAAGCCATACCTCCCTTGTCGAGCTTATTGTCTTCGTCGCCCATGATAAAATCTCAAGCTAGTGACCGATCACCGCTCTAATACCATGTAAAATCTAGAAGCGAGAATGGAGAATAACACGAGACACCGAATTTACGTGGTTTCCCCATTCAATATGAACGAGACTACTCCACGGAGAACGTGAGTTCTCAGGTTTATTATTAGATGCAGCTCTACTGTTCTTTCTGCATACATCAAACAGAAACCTCACATCCTATTATACTCGACGTGAGCTAATAGGGTTAGAGAGGCTAAATGCTAAAAGGTCCTTCAACAATAAATATATTACAAACTGGTTCCACACGTTTCTACATGTATAATTTAAATGAATCATGATGACAATAGAAGGAGAAAGAAATTGCATTTAAATCATGAAAAAGTTTATAATCCTGAGGATGATTTTGGAAGAAATGGAAATTTTCATTCACAATCCTCTGGTACAAACTTTGAAAAACAAAGTCTCCATATACCTCTTAAGCATTGAAATGTTGAATTTAATTTGGATGATGAAGAATTATATAATTTTGACAGAGAACAGGCTTTTATTGAGAAAAATAAGTTCCACCAAAAAATTAAGTGCAAATATAAATTATTGTCAAACTGAATATGGATGAACTAAACGAAAATGTTAAAGATTTCAAATGTTCTCAAAATGATTCGGAAAAAAAAAAGCAATGTTCTATCAAGATAGACGTTGTAGTTTGCTCTAATTGATTGATGTGAGTGGAGTAAGCATCCGAAATAGCTCCCAATAATATGTGAATATTTCAATCAACACAAGTCTCAAAGACTCGAAGTATTATAATTTAGTAACCTGATACCTGACGGGGCGTTTAATATATGAACTTCCACCCATACATTATTCTAATACCATGCAACTATTTCTACCATAATAATCTGCGGAATGAAAATTTGTGTAGTAGTTTCTAGTTCATGAGTATTAGTTAAATATAACTACCTGGAGTAGCAATTTATTTAACAAAGATTGAAATTAAGTGTTGTTTTTTTTGTGAGAAAATTAATTGGTGTTTCATAATCACACTATTAAACTTGCGTAAAAACTAAAATGTGAGCTAGCAGAAACCCTTTTTCCTTTAGAACAAGAAGTTAGAAGTTTATTACTATCTTTTACTCTTCTAGAGTAGCTCCGGCCGCTACTCATCGCCGGCTGCCTCGTCACTTTTCCGCAACGCCGCGCAACCGAGTGCCGACGACCGGCTTTGCCAAGCAGTAGCTATAGCTTAAAAAAGCAGCTTATACATTAGGCCATGATGACCGCGGTAAATTACGAATGTGCCATTGCCCCCACTTTTTCTCCTGGATTTGCCCCAAACCTATTTTTTGCCGATTAGGCGAGGCACTCGTTTCTTACCGCTTTTCTCTTCGTTGATGCGAGATGGACCAGCAGCAGAGGAGCTCCTCCGGCTACTCCCACAGCCCTCGATCACCCTCGTCGCAACCTTACTTATCGGTTTCCGTCACCGATCCCGTGAAGTTGGGCAATGGCGTTCAGTCTTACATCTCGTATCGAGTCATTACCAAGGTAAATAATCAATCCTTCCGATTCTCGAGCAATCACTTATTGTTAGATTACCGTTCTGGTGATCGCAGTGGCTGGCCAACGAATTTGTCAATTGCTTTCCTTGGACATCTGGAGAGGGATATGTGTAGCTTTCCTTGTGTTTCATAGATCTCTACGAATGACATAGATTATGTTCGGTAAAATGAGCTAAAGCAGACGGATGGTGAAGTTATGATGGATTTGTAACGAATAACGATTCAGTCTAACTGTGTCTGTTGCTTCAACTTGATTCTGTGTCAATTCTGCCAATAGCTACAAGTGATGTACATGGTAGAGGAAGTGTTACGCAATCTATGTATCTCGGATTGTGATAGTGGGGTGGTTTTGTTGGTTCCTACAATGGTGTTATGCACATAATTGACATCTTGTTCTTCACAATCAACTGATTTCTTTCTTCTTCGACGCCCTGTGGATGATATAGGTTTCTGGGTACCTGTCTGTGGCATTATTTCAGATTGTTTCAATGTTCATTGCCAAAAATGGCAAACTAGTCTAACGTGCACTTTTTCTTTCTCCTGGCAGACGAATCTGCCTGACTACCAAGGACCTGAAAAGATTGTCATTCGGCGGTACAGTGATTTTGTGTGGTTACATGATCGTCTCTTTGAGAAGTATAAAGGAGTTTTCATTCCTCCTCTACCAGAGAAGAGTGCTGTAGGTAAGAGTTCAGAAATTTCTGGCTTTCACATTGTTCTGGCTTCTGTTTTCTAAATATCAGCATACCAGCATATAGTAAGTGACTGTAACGGCTTTAGGTTTGTGTTTCTTCCATTTAAGCTACTTTTGTTGCTAGTGCAACAATAGATTATATAGACATGTTACCTCAATTTTGCGTCTTCCTTTTACGAAAGAGTTTTAGAATGGATCTAGTCCTTGTTCTTTTTAGGTTTATAATTTTCACGCCCTCGGCTTAGTCTCTTTGAGTTAAGGAAATTTATAATCTTTCTATGTTGGCAACGGAACCCATCTGGGGATGAAGAAGTTTCTTGAGTGATGTAGCAAATTTTCTAGCACACTAGTGTTGGGTTTCCCAAACTTAGTATGTAAGAGAATGGTGATTATCTGGATTATTTATTAGTATTTGGAACTTGGTTATAGAAAGTACTAATGATAGCACTTAAATGACAGAAAAGTTCCGCTTCAGCGCTGAATTTATTGAAATGAGGCGTCAAGCATTGGATGTATTTGTTAACCGGATAGCCTCACACCAGGAACTTCAGCAAAGTGAGGATCTGAAAACCTTTTTGCAGGCAGAGGAAGAGGTGATACTCTTTGTTTGTGGGCTTATAGACTATTTAGTCTAATGTGACAGTCCAGCCTCATTTACAATGTGACCGAATCTGAAAATGTACCAACAAAATTTAATTTATATGATGCATACTCTTTCAGACAATGGAAAGATTAAGGTCTCACGAGTCGAGCTATTTTAAGAAGAAGCCAGCAGATTTGTTGCAAATATTCAAGGTACAATGAATTGTTTGTCATTTACTCGCACAAACCAGTTGGTGATGAATATGAAGATATACTTCCAGTGTTTCGTTGACTACGTCCATGTAAATCTATTTACTGACTACTTAAGTTGACAGGCAAACTGTTGGAGTTGTGTGACCATATTCTTTGTTTATACTTCCTAATCTGAATGCTTCTAGTTTTGTGCCAATTCTAGCATTGAACAGTTTACTGAATGTATGATATGGGAAAATTGTTCTAACCGATTTTACAGGATGTGCAATCTAGAGTAAGCGATGTCGTGCTGGGGAAAGAAAAACCAGTTGAAGAATCAAATCCTGACTATGAAAAGCTGAAGCATTACATCTTTGAGCTTGAAAACCACTTGGCTGAGGCTCAAAAACATGCATATCGTCTTGTGAAGCGCCACAGAGGTAACTTGTTAGGTGCATATGTGTCATCTAACTGTTGTAGGAATGCAGTTTGATTGTTTCTGATCTGATGTTTCCTCGGGAAGTAAGCAATTTGTATTGGATAATTTCTTTACTCAGAGATGGGACAATCTCTATCGGATTTCGGGAAGGCTGCTAAGTTACTTGGTGCTTGCGAATCGAATGGCCTTGGGAAAGCACTAACAGAGCTTGGGGCTAAATCTGAGGCATTATCAATCCGGCTACAAAAGGAGGCAAGTCTTTGAGTTGACGTTGAGTTCATCTTTCTTGTGCTGTTTTGGCCTCAGAGTAATGAGTTTATTGATCCCTGTCTTCACGCACATGCAGGCCCATCAACTCCTAATGAATTTTGAAGAACCTTTGAAAGATTATGTCCGTGCTGTGCAGTCAATTAAGGTTGGTGCTCTTGCGCTTGCACTCCCCTTTAGGTGGCTTTATGTATGCTGTCAATTCAATCCTTAATACTTTATGGAAACTGATCATCCTGCTGCTTTGCATTATTTGGACAGGAAACTATTGCTGAAAGGGCCAATGCATTTAGGCAACAATGTGAACTGGCTGAAACAATGAAGTTGAAGGAGATAAATCTGTATGCGCTTCTCTTTTTAGCTGGATTAATCTTATTAGCTGTGGCATGACTTGATAGTGACATGTTCTAATAACGTTCTTCTCTACACTCTGCAGCGACAAGCTTATGCTGACACGATCCGACAGAGTGGGGGAAGCTGAAATCGAGTACAGAGAGGTAAGCATCGAACTGTCCTAATCTTTCGTTTTGAATTCTCTCAAGTGTTTTGGCCTATATCTAACAAAGATCTCGCCATCCTGATTCAGCTGAAGGCAGATAGCGAAGAAGCTGCAAGAAGATTTGAGAGCATTGTCCGACTAATGAATGAAGAGATTGTACGTTTCCAAGATCAGAAGACGATCGACATGGGAAGAGCATTCCATGAATTTGCCAAGGGACAGGCACGACTTGCTAATAGTATTGCAGATGCATGGCGGAGTCTCCTTCCTAAGCTTGAAGCTTGTTCCGTATAGTTTGTTCATTACTGCTGTAACCTTACTTTTCATCTTGTAACAATTAGTTGGATTGTTAGAGCTTTTACTTGTGTATATAAATCTCAACTGTCACCACAACTTAAATTTTATGAATTGTAGACCATGCATGAAACGTTTTTCTAATACTACAGCTTTCCCCCCTTTATTTGTGGATTTTGAGTGTTAATTCTTTTCCTTTTTTGTAATGGAAAAACTAGTCTGAAAACCACACCGGATCAACTGTTTTTTTATCTCTAAGATTACTTATTGATTTGAGTCCGACATTGGGTATTTCCCGTCCGGTCGATACGATGGAGTTTCTAAAACACTGACTTTACTGAGATTAGTACTGTTTTGCGCTGAAGTCTAGTGGTTTTAATTTTCCCCTGTCTTGGTGGAATGCGGACTCTTACTGGCCTCTCAAAATAGCGAGGAAGCGTTATCCAATTCCAAACCCACTAGTCTCCTCAACCACATTCATTCCGCCATTAGCTTCCGTCTTCCGCCATTAAGTACACCTTTTGGCGGCAGCAATGGCTTCTTGTGCTCTGATGCGACTCATCTATCCCACAACGACATCCAACGTGCAGCTCCATCTTCCCCTAAGGACTCAATCCCCATTATCAATCACCGAAACGAACACCAAACGGAGCTTTGGGGTAAGCCGAATTCACAGCCTCCGCAACCGGACAGCCGTCGTCAAATCCTCACAGGGAAACGGCGGCATCGTGGCTTCCGATGACAATGGAGAAGACGGGGTCTTGCTGGGTACCTTCAAACTGCCAGGGAACACCGATCTCGACAGATTTGAACTCTTGCTCTTCCAGGTTCCTTCTCTCTCCCTCCCTCTCTCGCATTGTTACTTCGTTAATAATCAGTAACTCGACCCATTAAAGCTCAAGCTGCGGTTGTTGGCAACAGTGGGGGAACAGTCTTTCTCAGGGTGCCAATCTGCCATTTCCGGTGCCACTCAAGGTCTGTTCAATTTCCTCCATGCCGTGGTTTTGTTGAATTCGGCTCCATATATGTCGTAGTTTTGATTTGATTACGAACAATTAGGTAGACAAAGTAGCGGGAGGGGCAAGGTTGGGGTTCATCACCATTGAAGATGGCGGGGAGACGGATGTTGCAGTGTACATAGACTGCCTGGTTTTCCCGGCGACGGAGAGTTCCGGCCCGATTTTCAGAGCCATAAGGAACGGGCGGCGGAAAAATGAAACTCCACCCGGCGAGCCCAGAATCATGAGAAACCTCATCGAGGCCCTCCAGAAATCCATCCAAATTGCCCGGCTCTAGATCGATAGATACTTCCTCCTGTTTGGGCAATTTCTGCAAAATTTTGTTTCAGTTGGATGATGAATTTTTTCAGCCTTGATGAATGGATATCCTAGTCCTGGTCATCTCTTTAACAAGTACCTAGATGTACTGGTTAAGAAAATTATGTAAAATTCTGTTCAACTGAGCTCACGATATTAAGATCTCATATATATGAATTTACACTTTCACCAAACTTACTCTGCAGAGGAAGGCACTCCAGATACTCTGCAAAACAAGGGTCCGGGGCGGTCGCCCGGGATACCCTCCAATGCCTAAGTTAGAGAGAGAAAGGGGAGAATGAATGTATTGATGTAGAGAGATGGGTAGTAGTTGAGTTTACCATAAATGAGCTTACTCTGTATTTATACCTGGTTTGAGGGTAGCTGGGGCATTAAATGCTATGTCGGGCGCCTTAGACTGTGTCAGGCGTCCCAAGCAGGCTTTTAGCCTTTCTGCAGGCCGCCTGTGGCTGGCAATAAATGCTCAGTCTTGTCTGACACCGGATACGTATTATCAACGGCTCTCTGCTCCTCTGTGTTGTTCAGTCGCTTTATGTCAGGCGCCCTTATCTGTTCTTCGGGTCTGCAGCCGGTCAAGGACCGCCTGTCGACCGGGTCTTCTGATCGGGTCTGTCTCCTTATTGGGCCTTAACTGCTAACGTACCTTTCTTGGGCCAGAGGCCCAATCACGCTCAACTATGCGGCCCAACATTTGCCCCTTAGACGGGAAAAGCCTAGGGTTTTGGTGGCTACCAATAATGCTTTTAGCTAGTTGAGCGGTTCACGCCTCCTCCTTGTCCCACTATGCCCCTGGATGCCGGAGGCCTAGGGTTGCCTGCCTGAGGTATTCTCCGGCCGCCTCGCGGGTTTTCTGTGTGGAGACGCCTTGCACTGTCTGTGGGTTGGTTTCCGCGCTCTGACACCGGGCAGGGGAAACGTCCATTCGCGTGCCCGTTTTTGAATTTCGTGGCCTAGGGCACCCAAACGTCACATCACCTTTTTGCCGATATATATACTTCGAGTTTCCTGTTGCTGATCACTTTCGCCCTTTGCTTTCTCTGTCATTTTTCAAAATTGCGCGGTGCTCCAAATTTTCTCTCTCTCGTTATTTGGAGGATCATCTATCTCTTTCAGCGGAGCGACGCCAGTTTCTGACTTCCTTGAGGAGAACCCAGAAATGAGATAAGAAGAAGAAGAAGCAACTGCTGGCGATGGCTTCCCAATCGACCACTCCTTCTGACAGTCAGAATCGGGGCCTTTCCGGCGAGACTGCGCCGCCGTCCGCCTCTGATGTTGCGACCAACACCGCTTCAGTCGCTGCGACGACAACCACCTCTGGGACGGCGGCGGCCGCCACTCCCGGCGGCGGTGCTGTTCCTTCCGGCGGAGCCGTCGTCACACGTTCCGGAGCCAAAACCGCCAGTGCAGGCGGTCCTGCTGCTGGAGCAGGTATGCCTGTTATCTCTAGCCCTTTAAATTCATCTGATGTAGAATGGGACTCGGAGGGTATTGAATTGCTGTGTGGGGGTGGCGATGCGGTTGTTGCGGGTGAGCGTCTAGATAGGCCTGACAGTTGCATTTTAGGGCTAGGAGTGGGCGCTTTAACTGACACGGCCACCTCCGTGGTCGAGCGTGGCGGGACCTCCCGAGTCGGAGATAATTTGGTGGAGCTGTCATCGGAGAGTGCTCCGGAGGATGCGGCTCACGATTCTGCCAGGGAGGATTCAATTTCGAACTCCCCCTCACTGGCATTATCGGAGACGCCAATGGTCCATCCATATCAGGCGGTTGCAGATCGTGAGTATCGGGTGCGTCTTCACGAGGACATGTGGGAGGGGGAAGAGGTTCCGACCGCTGTTTACTCGTATGGTCTGAAGTATACTCCCGCTTACTCCCCGACACAAGTGCTCCGCCAGCTTCATAGGCATCGGCTGCCCACCGATTGGGAATATGCGGCCCCGTCTCCCGATGGACGCTGCGGTTCGTGCCCGGTCGGATGGATCACCATTTTCACCGAGCATGTGCGACTGGGGTTGGAGTTCCCTTTAGACCCACTTCTCACTGGGATTTTGACGCACCTTAACTGCTCCTTGAGCCGCCTCTCTCCCTCCATCATTTTTCACTCGCTCTGTTATCGTGCGGCCTGCGACCGGTTGAAAGAGGAACCGTCGATTGACGCCTTTCGGCTGTTATATGCCATGACCGGCTCGAAGAATTGTTGTTGCCCCGGAGGCGAGAGAAAAAGGTTGGGTTCGTTTTTGGATCCTCCAAACCGGACTCGCCGTGGTATAGCGAGTATTTCTTCGCTCGCCCGACTGGGAAATGGTACTCGGGAGATGTGGAACCGCTAACCGCGTTTTCTTTTGGGAGCACTGATGATTGGGATGAAGGTGTTAAGCAGCTCCAACACTTGAGACCTCACTTGGACCGCGTCACTTCGACCGTCCAGTTTCGGCTGCCTCCACATGGGCACGATAATGCCCTTGAGATTGTGCAGCGTTTTCACGGTTAGTTAGTTCCCCTTGGTTTTGATGAGATGTTGCTTGCTCATGCCTTTACTTATGTATTTATTTTTCAGGGATCCGGCGGTATGCGTCCTCTGCCCGACCGCCGAAGGTGGTTGCAAGCGGCTCCCCTTCAGCCGCGCCTTCCATCCCCAGCGGGTCGGAAGGGCCTCGAGCTACTGGCGGTTCCACCCAGTCCAGTTGTCCATGGGGCGATCAGGAAACCTTAAGTTGACCGTTCCGAGCGGTCAAGGTGTAACCCGGCCGAGCACCAAGCGCCCGCTGGACGTGGCGGTAGTCAAGGAGAAGCCATCGTCGGAGGATCAGCAGAAGTTGAAGGGAGTCGTGACTGACTAGCGTCCAGAGCCGCCTGCCAGTGCGAAGAAACAGAAGACGACGGAGCTTTCGGCTAGCGCGCAGTATTCCCCGCATGTCACTTCTCATTCCGAACGAGCCCGTCGCGCTCTTCATGCGATCGCCGAAGGGTTCGTGGTCCCCAGCGAGTACGTGCGGGTTGCGGGTACCATCCCTACAACTTCCGACACTCGCCATCTTGCCGGGACAACCGCGCGATGTTTCTTTGCGGTGAGTGTTTCAACCGCGCCTTCGCTTCCTTTATGTGAGATGCAAAGTACTGATTTGGGTTTTTGGACTTAGGCGCAATTCGGGATAAGCCAGCTGATATTGCATAACGAGCGCCTGCTGGATGACTTGGGCGACCGGGACACTCACATTCTCAAGCTCGAGGAACAGCTGAAGGACGGGCGTGAGAGCTTCCGTCAAGAACTTCGGGACGAAGTTCTAAAGGAGCAGGAGACGGCCCGGGAGTTGAAGGATGCTGAGCTGCGGACCGCCCAAAAAGAGCTGAAAAGGACCGCCCAGGAGCTGGAGAAGGCCAAGCGGGAGGCGTTGGAGGCCGCCGAGCGGGAGAAGAAGCTGCAAGATAAGGTGCAGGAATTGGAGGCTGGCTTGAACGCACTGAAGGTTCGGCGGGAGGCTGACTTGGACGAGGCTCGGCAGGAAGCTCGTGCTTCCTTCTTTGAGTCAGATGAATTCAATACGACCGATGAGGCCAAGTATCAGAAGCTACTGCGGGACACGGTCGCGTCCATCCGTCATCTTTTGCGCCGGGATCATCCCTACGTGCTTTGGGACCGTAATGCGGTTTGGGACGCGGTGGAATTCTGGGGTGACGATGACGTCAACTCTGAGGAAGTCGAATCCGCAGCTCCCGCCTCTAGTGGTGAAGTGAACCAACCAGCTTCCGTCGATGGCGGTTCTTCAACTTAGATTTCGCGGTTTCTTTCAATTGTCTTTGTTTCTTTCGCTCCCACCTTTCTTTGATCAACTGATACATTCCGCCTTCGGGCGAGGTTTTGTGTAATATTTGTTGGGATGCTTGTTTTTCTCCTCCCTCTTCATGCGTTGCGGCTCTTTTAGAGTTAGAATTTTTCTATTACTCTTATGCTCAAGTATTGAACTGCCAGGCGATTTTCCCAACCGTTGGGAAAGTTGACAAGCCAAGGGGGGTGGCGACTTTTCGACGAACGACTCACGTCGTAGCAGCTGCGATCCGACAAAGGGGTACGCCTAAACCAAGTGCTCGGGGGCCTTCGTTTTGAACCGAGGGCAGTGTGTGCGATGCGCTAAGGTGTAGCTTAGTGCTTGGTATACGTTTTGCACGCTCTTAATTGGCGTATGCGGTTTTGTTCGTGCGATGGGCGCACTCCGCTGTTGAGTTATGAGAACTTGGTACAGACTATGAGGATAGCTGTACTAGGGTGGTTTTATTGTTATGAGTCTAACTCGCCGAAGTTATGCTAGGTTGCGAAGAGTTATGAGGATAACTTTACTGTTAGCACAGAAATGTATCGCTCAGTGGCGATTTGAAACATTGAAGTTAAAATCAAGGGGCGCGAAGCTGTGAAGCTTTACAAAAAGTGCTACGTCTGGTAGCGGCGACCCCTAACAAAATTCTTGTTGCAAACTTCTCCTACTCACTGAAATACTTCTTGAGATGGATGGCGTTCCATGTCTTGGGAACGGGCTGTCCGCCCATGGATGCTAGCACGTATGTAGCGGTTCCAATCTTCTCGGCGACCAAGAATGGTCCTTCCCATATGGCGGCCAGCTTTCCATGCCCCTCCTTCTGCTCGAAGTTCCTTTTGAGCACCATGTCACCCTCTTTAAGTGGGCGAGGCTTCACCTTCTCGTTGTATGCCTTGGCGACCTTGAGCTTTTCCTGTACGGTTCGAACTAGAGCCGCATCCCTCCTTGCCTCCACCATGTCGAGCTGGTGGAGCAGCTTCCTATGGTTCTCCTCCGGGTCATACGTCTGGACCCTTAGTGAGGGCAGGATGACCTCGGTGGGGGCGACCGCCTCGGAGCCATACGTCAGGGCGAATGGGGTTTCTCCGGTGGCTCGCTTGTAGTTTGTGCGGTGCGCCCAGAGCACGTGTGGGAGCTCCGCGGTCCACCCTCCTTTTGCTTCCTTGAGCCGCCTCTTCAGACCCCGAAGGATAAGCTTGTTGGACGACTCCACTTGCCCATTGGCTTGCGGGAAGGCGACTAAGGCCATCCTGCAGGTAATGCGGTTCCTGGCACAGAAATTTTCGAACGGTCTGCAATCGAATTACGTCTCGTGGTCAGTGATGATTGTATTAGGAGTTCCGAACCTGATCATTATATTGTTG